TGTCTCCCGGGGGGCGGGCCCCCCCCATAGCCGCATGCCCGGGGCCGGCCCCCCCCATAGCCGCATGCCCGGGGGCGAGGCCCCCTCCAAGGGCTGCGCGCCCGGGGCTGGCACTCCCCTCCCCCCCCGCACAAGCGCCGCGAGCCCGGGACTGGCACTCCCCCTCCTTCCCCGCAAGCGCCGCGTGCCCAGGGCCGGTGCTCACCGTGCGCCATGTGCCCGGGGCCAGGCCAGCCCCGAGCACCTGGCGGGCGCATGCAAATGCCCCCGCGGGTGCCATGGCGCCCGCGGGCACCGTGTTGGGGACCACGGATGTAGACTAAAAGGAGAACATATGGTATTGTTATATTTCACTCATGTATTTTTCAAAAGAATCTGGGTTTCTTTTTTAAGTCACTTCCTGGAAGCATCAAAATTGTGTTATAGGTCACAAAGATATATTACTTCTATTGTATATCTGTAGACAAAAAACACAGGTAACACATCTATCTAGAACTATTTATGATAACATTTTGAAAAAGCTGAAAGACAGTCCTCTCTGTTTTCATGATGCCCTCCACATGAACTTCAAGGCTTACTTACTTACCATATAATGCCATTCTAAATGAATACCCCCCAGTGAATAATATAACTAGCACACTATAAAGCAAAGCAAATGGGAAGTGGTCACTAAGGAAACTGACAAATACAAGAAAGAAAAAAAGTTGATCCAGAGCTATAATCTACACCGTTTGATTACTCCACTGTAGAAAGTGGATAAATGCTTAAAATTTGGCTGGAAACAGTTTAAATAATATAGCTTTTAAAAAAAAATTCGTTTCCATTGACCCCCTGGAAAAAAGGCTATGTTAATATATCTCATTTATGTCAAACAAAAAAAATGTTTCTAGATGCATATATAATAAAAAGAAATACTTACAAAATAAATCATGAAATTACCCTAATCCAAACATATGAGTAAACAAAAAAAAATGTACTTAAGGGTCAACTTTAAAAGAAAATTCAGACTTCTGAGAATACGTGCCTATTATGGTTATAAATAACATTAGAATAACTAGCAAGAGATAAGAGGAAATAATTTTTGGTATGCTTATTTTGTGGGTTTGACATTTTGTTCATAGCTAGTTTTCTGTTTCTCTACATCATCAGTAAGTAATTTTCCCCTTTTTGTCTGTGTGGCTTTGTCTACACTATGGCTTTTGCCGGAAGAGGCAATGCAAATGAAGTGCTGATTAACATATTGTCACACTCATTTGCATAATCTATTCCAAGACGTTTTTGCACAAAAACAAGCAGTGTGGATGTTTCCTTTTTGCTCAAAAACCCGTTTTTGTGCAAGATCCTATAAGGAAACATCTACACTGCTTGTTTTTGTGCAAAAACCTCTTGCACAAAAATGGCTTGGACTAGATTATGCAAATGAAGCAGAATATGCTAATCAGCACTTAATTTGCATTGCTTCTTCCAGCAAAAGCCATACTGTAGACCAGCGATTCCCAACCTTTTCCAGATGGGGACCCATTTTGACAATTCAGGAAGACTGAAGACAATTCAAAAATGAAGAGAGGAGGGAGGGCAGAGCCACTAGGAGACACACTTGACGACGCTTTTGAAATGTAATGGCAACCCATATTTGGGTCCCAACCTATAGGTTGGGAAACCCTGCTGTAGACAAAGCCTTTGAGGCTTTCACACAAGAACAGCAGAAAGAAAAACATTTTATAAAATACAAAATTATCGTAAAATCCACAAAAATTGGCAAGGGGCCTTAAAGACAGGTGTAGTACTTAAAACTAGTTTTAACTTTTTTTAAATCACTGATTTCAAGTTAATACTGCCCTCTAACTCCTAGAGAGACAAAGGTGGGTGAGCCAATATCTTTTATTGGACTAACTTCAAGCAGATATTGATCTAGTAATATATATTTAACTCTCCCACCTTGTCTCTCTAAAATCCTGAGTCTCATCCAGCTACCACTGGCCTTAGCACCTTTCTCAGTCTACCTTGCCTTAAAAAGCCCCAGAGAACACATAAGATCAAAAGATTCTTCTCAAGCAGGGTGATAGGGGAAATGAGTCTCTCTACATGACCTAGCTCCTCTAGAGATAGTCAATTTTTTCCATTAATAACATGGTTTCATTGAAAAGGAAAGATGATGAATAAGGGGAGGAACCAAAATTCAAAACTTAAAAAAAAAAAAATCTTGGACATTTTTCAGAGTGGAAAATGTTCTATATTAACCACAGCAAAATTTAAATAACTTGGACATTTTAATTATTTTTGCTAAATTATGTTTCCATTCTTCAACCCTTTCTACACTCATCAGGTCCCAAAGCATTACCCACTGTACCTAGTACACTCTGGGAGCAAGCTTAAAAGCAGCTCCTGTGCATACCAGCCGGGGGAGGTGGGTCTACAAGAGCTGGTACAAAAGCTGGCTCCCTGCACTCACCAGCTCCCCTATGCGCTGCTGCCTCTGATAGAGAAAATTTCAGTGCAGGGTGGAGGGAGTGGGGGGGGGGGAGGCTGCATGCAACCATGTACACATTCTCCCAACAGCCCATTAGTTCAGCCTGCAAGAAACACCTACACAAAATGACCTCCTAGCACTATACCACATCAAGAAAAGATCCTCCCCAACCCACACAATTCCCACAATAAAACAGAACAAAATTATAATTTAAGCCTGCAACCCCAATAGCATACATGCCCACATCAATGTTTTTTTCATTAACTTAATTCTCCTCACTCTCTCACTCAGAAGAGTGATTTTTCTCTGCCATTCATCCAAATCTCATTCAATAATACAGATTTCTCACTTGCCTTTAAAAAAAAAAAAAGAACATGGTGTCTCACATCAAGACTATATTAGTGAGCCTCAAAACTCCACTGATTAGTAGTATCCTTTAGCTCAGGGCTGGGGAACTTTTTTGGGTTGGGGGCCGCTGTCCCACAGAAAAGTCAGACAGGGGCCACAGACAAGTGAGAAGCAACAGACAAACCCAAAACCAACCAACCAACCAGACAAAAAACAACCCATCCTCACTGACATGGCCCCAAAATAAGGACAAAGACATATTCCCCTTACACACCAGAGCCTGGTGGGAGGCAACCTAGTAGATTTTGTGTTCTCCAGCCCCATCGTGGGGCAGCAAGAAGTCTGGAGTGCCAGCACGGGCTCCCCAATGCAAGGGGGGAACCGTGAGCCTCAGGGACCCAGATACAGGCAAGCGGCCTGAAGTTTCCTACCCCTGCTTTAGCTAGTACAGTACATGGATATGCAGAGAAAGCCACATAAAATAAAGGTTGAGCTGAGAATGAATGAGCAAATCCTGAAGAGACAAGCTGGGTGAGATAACATCTTTTATTGGACCAACTTTTGAGCTTACAGACTCTGACCAACAGAAGTTGGTCCAGTAAAAAATATTACCTCACTCAGCTTGTCTAATAACCTGGGACCAATGGGGCCACAACAACACTGCATATAACTGAGAAAATCTTCACAGACTGAAGAGAGGCCATTTAATCGCTAGCTCCCAGTTTGAGA